ACACACACAATCAAACAGTTTATTCAAATGCACTCAGTCAACACAAACATTTAGAAAACGTCTGCATGTGCAATTTTGCTTACAGCCTGCAGAAAAACAAGAAACTCTGCAGCATATGTCTGAAATCTAACATTATTATCTCACATTCTACCAACATGATGACCCACAGAGTTGACATTTCATAAACTAGTAACTTTGGTGAGTCTCTGACTTTTTATTTAGTGCCGGCATCTGGTCAATGTATAGGAATACTCGCCGTTCTCAACTGTACTCTGCGTTTAGTGCTAATTAACTGATTTTGCATGACGACACACTAAAATAAGACAGTGATGCAGGTAAAGCTGTTCATGCCTTTTTAGCGCTTTTTATAGCATCCAGGTTTTAGCATTTAGCTCAAAATGCAGCTTCACAGACACGTGTTTTGAGTTTAAATTCAAAAGTTTTCTTTGAACACAGCTGGGTGACAGATAATATTAGATTAGTTGGAGGTTTTCTACTGACAGTGATGGAGATCGGAGGGTCCATCAGCACAACGTTATGCATAGCCAGGTATCTGTTTTCTCCATCGCCTTTGTCTGTGATCACAGCTGTAACCTTCATGCTCTCATTCTCCACCATGAGTCTGTGGTAGGCCGAGAACGGGATCACGATGGGGACGGACAGAACTGGAGGAGACAGCATATAGTTTAGGCCACACTCTAAGATGATTGCTTCTAAAAGTCAGCAGCAACATAACTGTGCAGAGAAAAAAAAAAAAAAGCATCCCGAGAAGAGGGAGTCACCTTTCCCGGGCAGCAGCGTCTCCTCTTTGTCCTCAGTCAGGATTTTCCCTGCTGGTACCCCGTAGTACTTCATGGCCTGGACGGAGATGTGGATGGACAGCGGCCGGGAATCGTTGCTTTGACTCTGCAGCACCAGCTTCAGGTTCACATCCTTACCGTTGATCAGCCTGGACACCTGCAGCAAGAGACAAGTTTGCACAAAAGCATGTTTTACACAATCAACACCTAAAACCATAATTGTGCAAGTGGGTCATCTGCTGTGTGTGGTGCTCCAGATGTACCTTTAAATTAAATAACCAGTCCTGTGCCCAGCTGTATGTTCATTCATCTACCAGGAATATTGTGGATAGATAGTCATACAGTGGATACCGTATATGTCTGTGAGTGAGGACCACATTTTACATTGCAGCTTCTTCAGCCTATTTTATGATTCTTTGTGTTCGGCGTTCTAAGCCTCCTGGGCCACTGGGAGGCCTCAAAGTTGTGCTTAAAGTGATGTTTAGCATAGGAAGGCACAAACCACATAAAATGAACAAAAAAAAAAAAAGATCATTCACAACATCCTGTTAAATAACTCTGAAAGGAAAGAGAAAATCTGGGACGTACCTCTTTAAACCGGATAGTCACTGGTGGTAGAGGTTCTGAAGTAGCTCCCTCGTCCGTCCCTCCGCTTCCAGGTTCTTCTGTCGTTACTTCACCTGCATCTTCCTCCTCTATCTCTTCATACATTTCTTCAGGTCTGGNGATGAGCAAACGTTTGCTTATTATAGATGCAGAAATACTTCATGCCACATGCGTGACCTGCAATTGAAAGGGACGGAGGGAAGGGAAGGACGGTGAAAACAACAAAGGGAGACGAAAACTATAATGTTGAAAACAATGTTTGATATTTTTACCCATACCCTACTTGCATACCAGCTATAGAGGGTCTAATGAAAGCAGGGGAATCAAACCTGGAGCTCTCTTCTTGAAGGCGGTAGCTGCCACTTAGTTTAGGCCAAATTTCCATCATTGCACACCAAATAACATTTCATATTTTTAACCTAAAAGTCTATATTAAGTTAAATTTAGCATAGAGTGTCTGCTTTAACGTTTCTAGCAGCGTTGAGTCTTGCCCGATCGTTTCTACCAAAAGATCCAAAGATAAAATTACTCGACACATTTACACCAACTTGTTCCTTCGCTAACACGCCCAGCAGCCCTCCCTGAGAACAACCGACTTTCCCATCGTCACGCCAGATTCCAGTGAACATGTTAACATGTTGTAACATTCCCCCTTTTAGTGTTGGCCACATTACAGGTGGATCAATCTCACCGAAAGTTTCATTAGAAACACAGACAGATGCTGTAATTAGTTCAGGCTTGTTCAGGATGTCTGTGATTGAAAAGTCACTTTGCTGCTGTTACACTGTATTAGTTTGACATTATCAAGCGTACAGTGAGTGTGTTTATCACCACAGTATTACCACTTCACTTTTGCACTATACTGGCTTCTTGGGGGGGATCAGTTCATGTCCACTGCTGCATATGAACGTCCTCCAGCATCGAGGAAACTGAATAAAACTGGTTGATCCTCAACTGCACTTAAATCAACGGTGGCTTTAATAGTAGTTTGTCTTTTGAAATCATACTTAGATCACATAAAGGAAACTGCTGTGGTTGATTCAACACCATAAAGGAACCGCCATCCTTTTTAAGTGGTTTAAGTTAAGGCTGTTTCTTCAGCACCAGGTTCTGACTGTCAACATATAACAGAGCAAACACTCCAGAGTTCATTTGAAATAAACCAAACAGGTTAGCTGTGAAAGCACCATAACTTTTATTCATCTTCAAGTGAACATTTTGACATTTTCTTCCTTTTTTCTCCCCCCCAACTGTCCTTCATCAAGAATATATGCAAGTTTAAATCTTCTGTCAGGAGTCAAGTGTTGGCTGCAGTGTTTATGCACTACTGAGCCTTCTTGAAAGCAATAACACTAGAAATGAGACTTCCCTGTTTGACCTGTTGTTCTGGGTTC